ATACGAGTATACTTTATTCCTTCACCGCCTCATCTCGTCTTTCAACTGAAAGATAGCTTACAAAGTAAGCTGTTTGGAGGCTGAAATAGGTGAGACTGAGGTACCCTCGCAGACGACTTTTTACAAAGTCTATGTAGATAAGTAGAGTAATAAAATCAAAACTAATAGTTAATATTAGTAATAAACTTTTCCGAATTTTTAATATATTAATATCATAATATATAGCCTACGTCACTCAGAAATAATTTATCTTTCAAACAGTAAAAGATTTACTCCATTCGGTGCATTGGTTTCAGAGTTTAGTTTTAATTTCTTTCGTTAATCTTCTCCCTCTCTCTCTCTTTTATTAAAAACTACTAATATTTTATAAATAAATCAACATTAGATTTATATTTTTAACCAAAAGTCTTTCACATAAATTACATTGTAGGTTGCATGAAAGTGTGATGGGTGTAAGAATGATTGAAAGATACGAGTGAATGTACGCCTCAATGAACAGAGACAAAATGAAACGAATCAATAAATATTAAAAGAAGAACCAACTATAACGTTACATCCTCTCGATCTACACATATACGAGTGCCATAGTTATTTTTATTATTTAATTTACTTGATATAATTCCAATTCTAATAACTAAGGATCAATAAGGGAAAGCATCCCCCTATCCGTACTACGGATAATGCCCGCAACCCTAATACGAGCACGTTTACCTGGATATTTACTAACGACATGGGAGTTATTTAATCAATAGCTCCATGGTAAAGTTCTACCTACGAGTATGTAAGCGAGTGACCGCCGTGCACCGATGGCTATAAAAATATACAGTCGTATTCATATAAAAAATTTACTCTACACCAGCTGAGGCGATGACTTCAAATTCATGGTATTAGGTTCACAAAAAAATTATTTTATTTATATATGAATTAGAAAGGAAACCAATACTGTATATTTTTGGAAGCTTGCTAGAATAACTTCCTTGAGCGTGTTCAAATAGGATAAGCCGTTTAAGAAATTAGCATGCATGAGCGTACATACATACAGACAAACATCAATATATTCTTGTCTGCTCCTGATCACGCCTGGTACAAAATATGAACTGTATTTGTTTTTTTTATATTATATAATTTCAATATGCTTTATTGCTGACAATTAAACTAGATCTCATTTGAAGGTTTTACTAGATTATACTTGTTCTTAGAGTATTACATAACAGAAATGTCAAATGAGATATGTACTCAATTTATCATCAATAAAGTATATTGAAATTAAAAACGAAATTATATAAAAATAAGAAAATAAATGTAAAACTACATAGTATCTATTATGGCTTACATATCCGATACCATTAAATAAGAAAAAATAATTGAAAGATTCGTTACTTTAAATCTAAATAATTGAACTTGGACTCTAAATAAACCTCAATATAATGGCACTTTTAACTGTGTGTATATTGTATACTTTACGATAACTGTTTCTACAACAGATAAATATTAAGTCATTTCCTTGATACAATTGGTGTCATTGAGAACGTTAATTTGTTGACATAACACAAATATAAATAGAGCTGTAGCATAATAAAAATAATAGTCCTTGCACAGATGCAATCTAACTATCCAATATAAGATCTGACTTACAAATCCACTCTTTGAGTGTCCTGAAAGAAGTTATATTTGATGTTACTGACGATAATATCGCTTCATTTCAATGCTGCAATAGTAACTCAGTACTTATTTTAACATTTATAGGTTTTACAGGAGGAAATAGTATTGAAATGAGTTTTACTCCTGTTTGATTGAAACGAGCAAATTAGATTTCTTGAAATATCAAAGCATTTACAGACGTCTTATATTTTAGATCACCTACCACGAAACTGAAGGCAAGAATCCATATTCTAAATATTTTATATTGGTAAGTTTGGTTTCTAACCTGTTTGTTACCTTTTTACAACTATACATCTGGACGGACCTCACATGTAATAAGATTTCACGCAATACAACCTTTGCGAGAATAGCACATAAGTAAAATCGACATACATATCTACGTACCGATGATGAATTCATAATCAACTTTGAATACTTTTAGATCCTGAAGAAATATTCAGAAACCCAGGAATTGTGAATATCTATAGATGAACAGCGTCGTCTAATTTAGCCAAGCGACTTGTATGTAAAAAGGAAAGGAAACCAACTGCAAAACTACAGGTAACAATGTTTAGATGGAAACGATAATAATCGGAAGACTTTACGTCCGCCTTTATTAAACTCAAAATATCAGTACAAACTGTAAATAGTGAAGGTAAACCAGAGGTAAACTGTAAAAAGTCATCTGCATGGCTACGTCGCCAATGTAGCGGTTAATATTGGCGACGTAGCCATGCAGATGACTTTTTACAGTTTACCTCTGGTTTATGTGTAGTAGCTTGCTGTGTTTCGGTTGTAGGATACAGGCTGTGAAATTGCAGAATGAGAGGCGTGAGTGGTATCACAGGTCACATAACAAAGTGATGTCCGTGATACTGTTCATGTATATAGGCGATTATTACCGCTTACTATCAAGTGTGCTCAGTTTATTTACCATTCCATTAAAGATATAGAAGTGAAGAATTAATGTATAATACCACTGAAATTAAATAAAAAGTTCGTATACTTAGTGGACTCTATTATATTATATTTATATTCTTTGATCAAATACAGTTGATATTAGAAAATTAATTGTCAGCTGGAACTTTAGGTTTGTCGTGTCGTATAGAATCTTTATTATGATACAAAGCAGGATCTCTGTTATCATTATTTAAATTATTTATTGTCTTTGATATAATTGATTGACGTCAATTTAATGGACGTCATTTATTTCTACTTCTGTGCTTATATAAAGTTTATTTGAATAATGATTAATTTCAGTTTCTATTCGACAGTCTCGGTGATCTAGCGACTTAGCACACCACCTTACTTCCGATGATCGCGGGTTCGATTTCTCGCACGACACAAACATTTGTGAGTTTGATTGTTTGTATCGGTCTAGGTGATTTATGTGTATAATATGTGTGTATTTACGAAAAAAATATATCTATATATTTGTATCAGTTATCTAGTTAGTACCCATAACACAAGCTTTAGCTAGCTTAACTTAGATCTAGATAGCACTGTGTGAATTGTTCTGAGATTATTCTTATTATTATTTCCCTTCAGAGTGGTTTCGTGACTTTCATTAATTGTTTAATTAATGAAAGCCCTTTATTCGTTAAATCATTTGATCGACAGGTAAAAATAACAGAAATAAGTACACTGAAAATATTACACTTCTTGTTTGGTCATCCATGTATGAACTAAATTACATACGAGTAAAAACCGTTTAAACTTTTAAGTCTATATCAAAATGAATCCTACAGAACATTGTAGCTTTGCGCCGCGGTTCTCGTAAATGTATTTCAATATGAGTATGGTTATGTACTGTATTGTTTTATGTGTTGACTAGAAGCGAACTACGAGGTTTTATGTTATACCCGTTTATGTTATGCCTTATCTGAACTTATTTTCTGCATAAAACAACTGTAATAAGAAAACATCTAGCTATTTTCAGTGGATATATTTGCGCGCTTTCTTTGTCTCTCGTTCTTGTTATATATTTTTATTAGTCAAAAATTTGTTTAAAATTGAGTTTACTTAATAATATCTATAACCCCAATACAAATAATTTAATAAGACATTATTAACATTTATTTAAACTTTCTGTTAATGCACCAGTTAGTGTTGCTTAGTGAATGGCTACATAAGAAATGGCAATATTAGAATTTTTTTAGAAGAATAAAAAATTTTTATTCAAATAAACTTAATTTTTCTTAAATTACGTTTATTTGAATAAATGATTTTGAATGAATAACTTTTGAATAGATAATTTTTTTTTTAATCTAGCGCTCATTCGGAAAGCTTTCTCATCACAAGAAGAATAAGCAAAAAAACTTGTGTCTTGCTCCTTTAAAAAATCCTTGTAAGTTCATATTTTACAAGTCAAAACGTGCGAATACAAACTACCAACCAGCACTAATTTATTTAGGCTCAAATATAAAAACACAATAAGATTAAATCAGTCGTAGTGATAAGAGCAGACAAGTCCCCACAAGCAGCACTCGTTCACGAGTATAACGGATGTACCTAGTTTATTTATAAATACAATGATTTACCTAAACTGTTTGTAGATAGATGTATATAGAGGCAGCTAGAATAAGTCTACATTAATACATGAATATAATGTCATGTACTCGTAGATACACGTATATTTAACACTAGCTGTTCATGCGATTTTACTCGTATGGAATTTATAGCCTATGTGATTCTGATGTATAAGTTAGGTATATTACTGTAAAGTTTCATCAAAATCCGTTCAGAAGTTATTGTGTGAAAGAGTAACAAACTTTCGCGGTTATAATATGAGTAAGATTACTATTATTACTTGAATAATGTAAAAATAAAATATATTAATATTTAAAAAAATATTTATTACATTAATTGTTATATAAATAAATAAAGTAGGTGATTTTTATAAAATATTGCAAATGGACATAAATGTTATAATATATATATATATATATATATATATATATTTTCTATCATATTGTTACTAATTAGTACTAGGTACACATAATTGCAGTCACATGTTTTCAAGCCGTCGTTCATTCTTTGTAATAAAATACCTCTAATCATCCTCATCATAATGTCTACATACTATTCTGTGCTAAACTAAGAAACCATAGATAGCGTTAAAACATTCCCGCGCTACTTGCAACCAATAACTCCATACAATATACTGTACATCGCAAAACAAATATAGTTACCACACTACAGTATGCATTAAGCATGCTCATATTAATTAGTTAATAATTCCATAATGAACATATCCAAACCTGGAACACGAATGTCTACGAGTGTTATTAAGTTAACGCCATTAGCACCGAGTTAACGGAACCCTCGGTAATTATGTTTGTAATAAATCGTACACAGACCCATATTATCTGAGTTGGTGCAGGAAGGGCCCGGGAGGCACAGGAAGGCGAATACGAGCACGAACACCGCTCCACACATGTTCAAACAAATCTATTATGCGTCCACAATGTAACATTAAAAACTTTAAAAAGTCCACCCCCACAATTCACTGTTCCAAAAAGTTATGTTGTATCAAATAAAAAAGTACATGTCAGCGATAAAACCCGCCAATCGGTCCCAATAAATCCTGTACGCTGCTAAAACAACTGTCAAAATGTGCAAAATTCGAACATCGAGAGCACGTGACACTTGTCACGTGATGATAACATTCAACCGCGTGTCACCTAGCGTCGGGGTAACAGAGGGCGTGTGGCCACAATGAGTCCGGACGTTCGACTGACGCGGCACCGAGTTACAAACGCCATACGACTATTGGTCACGACTCACAGCGAGCCATCAATTTAACTTGACGTTTCAATGAAAACCCTCCCTTTTTTCCCCGGAGTGAAATTACAAAGTTTTGTCGTGTAAAATAAAAAAAAATCGAACCGATTATGAAATCGTATTAAAGTCGATCTTAAGTTTAAAAAGGATTTCGATATAAATTCAACTTGCAAGTATCCTACCTATTAAATACTTTATAAAGCCTTTTAAGCGTACTGTAATCAAACTAATAGCCTAATTGTATACGCCTAATTTATTTATTAATATCAGAGCAAACCATGTGGCTTTTAAAATAATCTAGAATTTTATACACCTATGTATGTATTTTACACATTAATACCAGGATGTAATTACCGATTTTCCAAACATACTTTCTCTAAATACAAAAATATACTGAGTACGTATATGTTAATGAGACTGATTTTAGAATGCATGAAATCTTTTATCAAGTATATTACCGAATTTATAATTATTTCTTTATAATAATATAAAACAAAAGTGTTTCGTTTCTCATAAACAAAAGATACATTAAATTGTTACCAATTTACTGAGCGAAATTAAAATCTAATTAGTTATTCACGATTTCACCTGCCCCCAGTGGACACAAAGTATTCATTATGGGCCTTACTTTACAAAGAGACTTTTGTTCTACGTTTAATGACTAACCTTCCCCTTGAATTTATCAAACCATGATGTCGCAAATCGCATTGACTGTTCAAACCAACGCCATCAATGAATAACAACAGATGCTCAAATTAACATACTCAGATCGAACCATAAAGTTAATGGCTTTACTTCAAATAGGTAACATTATTTCCTATTTACTTGCAATTGAAATTTAAACTTGTGTCTTTTATGTTAACACAAAATAGTCAAATCTCGTCTCATGACTGAATTTAAATTTCGAATGTGGAGATGCAAAAAAATACTTATACATAAATGCATAAAAAAATACTTATACGTAAATTTGCATGAACTCAGACGTAACGGCTTTAATAGAAAAATAAGGGAGAAATTACCTTCAATTAATGCTAACATACCATTCGTAACGAGCTTTATTGCGCTACTTTTGTAAGTTCACCTTATACAAATGAAACTTTGGGGTGCGATCGACCTAAATTATAAAATATACTGACCGAGCACTCCTAAAAGCTTTGTTATTACAGACCGTGTATTATTTCAAGTATATTTATATTTTACATATTTAATAATATAACTTTACGGCTGGTATACTAGATTGGGTTGATAATATGGTGCACATTTCACATCCCCATATTGCGCTGGGTATATTGCATCCGTCGTAGCAAACATAGCAAGCAATAAATCTTTCGTATTAATTTGTCTACATGCTGTGCTTAACTTCACCGGAAATAAAAATTGACGTACAAAGTTCATTGTGAAAAGATTAAAGCTAAAAAATCTTATTTAAAAGTCTAGAAGTACTAATAGTTTTTCCTAATATACGAGTGTGATAGAAATGTTCTGTTTTATCAATAAATTATTAAAGACTAACGTGAGAGAGTAAATCCCAAGATGGCGGCGCAAAGCTCCAGTCTGGCGCCAAAAATCTCTCATCAATATTCCTACCATGAATGAACAAAATCGAAGACTTAGTCACTTAATATGTATCTATACATATATAAGGTACTAGTTAAATTTATAATAATTATAAATATTCTAAAAGTTGGGGAACTTTTCTTTTTACTTGAAAAATATCGTCATATAGACCAGCCCGCCCCGGGGGAGGCAAGCGGCTCCTTTGTGACTCCTACTCACTAAAAACTCCAGGATATCCCTCGTCCAATGCACATGTTGGGGTCACGGCATCGCTGTAACAGTCAACCGCGACTCGCTCGGTACCTAATAGACAATTTCCATGATTTATTATTTTATACTGATAATTTATTCAATCAATGATAGTCGATGTGCACCCTCTAATATAGTTATAAGTGCAATGATGTCTTGCTCGTTCGTCATACTCATGAACGGGTGCTGCTTGTGGGGACTGATCTGTTTAGGTTACGGACACTGATGAAATAATTTAATTTTGACAAAATAGTGGTCACTCTATTCTCCCTAATATGAATTTAAAAATTACTCTATATTTTTAATACTTGTACAAGTTCATTTGAAAAGAATAAGGACTGAGTTTCGTTTTAGTTCTTCTTAGCTTCAAAGCACGAACTGACGGTAGACTTTGACATACCACATGAGTCTGTAGTAGACCTATAAGAATAAATATATTAAGATTTTATTTGATATGATTTAAGATAAGATTCATTAAAAAAAACGTGTTAGTAGATATTTGGCACATGATTATCCTTATTAGTACTATTTCAATCCATCTATCCTTATCGTTGAACATAGATGTCCTATAGATCTTTTTATGCATGATAATATAATTAAAATCTCAGACGCAGTCGAGGTATTAGAGAGAATTGATGTCTTTACACATACTGTCGAAGTTATTTCGAATTAACCACTATAGATTAAAGTTGAGGATGCGTAGAGGTCAAGCTGTTAGAATACATTGTAAGCAATATTTGAAAGGCGAGTTCCAAATTATTTATTTGCATTATTCAGGACATAACCTTTCAAAGTTTAGACAACTACATGTTATTTCACAAAAACTAGCAATCGGAATCACTATTTAATGCCCACGTAAAATAAACTTATGCAAAAATAATAATCATAATCTGCTTAGTTCTCAGGAAACTACAGCGTAACATAAATACAATACAACATGCCACGTTATGTAATGTCAAAATACTTCCTTTAGCATAAAGTTACCCTTGATCTTTGGGGGTGGAGGAACCTCCCCACCTCGCCTTTCACAAAGGCATCAGAGGGCGTAATATCAACAGACTAGTGATTAAATTGTACTTACATCATTAGTGGGTGACATAAAATGAATCCTATCATTCTTGTTTAAACTCTCTTGGACTACCAACCCTATCTACGAAGATAAATGTAAAATTCGTCTGCTTCTGCAATATCACTTATTTCATATGCCTAGCAGCTTACTTTGCAAGCTATTATATATGCTATAAAATTGATTATGGAGAACTCGATTATAATTTAATTAACAATCTATATTTTATTAATTCATTATTTTAATAACAAAAATAATATAAATAACAAAAAAAAAATAGATTAGATTAGATTAGATAGATAGAAATTGAAATAGAAATAAACTTTATTCAAATAAACTTAATATAAGCACTTTTGAATAGTCAAGTGTTTTCATTCTACCGCTTATTCGGAATGCAGATTCATCACAAGAAGAATAAGCAAGAAACTTGTGTGTTGCTCTTTTAAATAAATATTGATTTACTTATATTTAATTACCAACAAGGATTAGGCATGCGACAATCAACATAGAAACCGCTACGCACTTAATCTCTGTTCAATCAGATAACATTGTCAGCGCTATGAATTTTAAGTTAGATATTTTCTACAAAACATTATCATTTATAAATTCTTCAATTTTATAATAAGCTTTCTTACAAAGAAAATATTTTATAACACATTGAATTTTTTTCTGGCAAATTGAGTACAGACTGTGGGAGTTTGTTATAAAACCTTACGCAATTTCCATAAAACAAATTACTAACTTTCGTCAAACGGCACTTAGGTAAAACTATTTTGTTGACATCACAATTATTGAAAGGGTGTCATTAATTAACAATAAAAAATACTTAATGTTTGCATCTATACCACATATTATTAAAGTTGTCAATGTACAAGAATTGTAAAGATGAGCAGACCCTTTAAAAAACCTAATGGGATATTGTATTTCTTAAACAGATTTGTGAAAATTTTGTAAATAAAACTTCATTCAAATTTATAATATAGGTACATTATGGTTAACGCATAATTGTTTTTTTTTTATTAATTAAATAATTAAAGATAAATTTTTGACCACTGTACCAAAATATATAAAACGTTTTCTTTAGTATGTGTTCCGTTATTATTTATTACATTTCCAATACCTGTCGCATATTAATTTAGTTATCTAACGACTCAGTGGAATAATATCACTTTCACAGAAAATGTAGGTACATTTTGTCACCAAATATTACAGTAATTAATGTTCATTATCGAAAAGAAGTTTCAAATTTCAACAAATGCTTTCAATTATTTATGATCGGATATTTTCTTTGACACTTGGCACTTCGCAAGTATATTGCGAAATTAATTTATGTGAATGTTTTTGATAATTAACATTTTTTTAATTCTACCTATTTATTCGAATGGATTAATTAATTAATATTAGGCATACGCTTTAGTATACAATATAAATATAGAAACAATGTAAATATAGAGTTAATAGAAAAAATATTTTAAAACAGAAGCCAATGTAGATTTAAGTAACGTACATAAGTAAAACTCTTTCATTTGATATCCATAACCTGGCAAGCGCATAAAAAATAACTAGTGCGCCATCTTAAACAGTCAGTTCAAAATTACGGATATATATTAGAATTAGAGTAACTTTAGTTAACGAACCACACACTGTCACCCAAACCTAACTAGCGTGCAAAATTTTAGCTTAATCATATATACCTGTATATATATTTTTTGCATGATTTGACTCAAATAAATATAGGTACAATCATTTATAATAAAACAAATTAAATAAAAGCTTATAATAAAACAAGGTAGGTAAGACATTGAATGTGGTAATGAGGCCGAGATTTAACTCAACCTTTAATTTTTTCTTAACGCTTCGGAGGACCTCGTGACCTTATATTGCCTCCTATTTATAATTGGAGCTACTTAGCAACTGTAATAAAGTTTAATAAATTAAATTTTTTCAATTCCTGTTGCTAAGACCATATTTTAAGTTGACAAAAAATACAATAACTTTTTCTATCTATTATTCTTCTTTGATGTCTTACAAGGAATTAAATTAAATCT